CCCCCCCCACCAATTCGCCATAATATGTAACACTTCCAAAAGAGATGGTTGGGGCAATATGACCCGGCTTGGGATTTTTTGGGGGTGTTGTAAAGAGAAATTCCCTGAAACGACACAACACTACCAAAAGTACCAATTTTTAAACGTGCCCCTTTTAGAACGATTGAGATACCTCTAAATTTCTGATATCTTACGACTAATAGGACTACATTTTGCAATTTGGAACGGCACAGGAAAGCCGAAAAACCAAGCGGGGACGCTACTTCAATATTAAACTTCCATCGCCTTGCTAAGGCGCAGGGATACAACTATTTGAACTCTCCGGAACGCGTGAGGTATCACGCCTCAATTGAAGACGTTTTCGAATCTCCTGTATTTACATGACGAGATTTTCTAAATTATTTTGCATTATATTGTAGATTTCAGTTCCTCTTACTATTTAGTTAAATTATTCCTGCTTCTTAATTTTTAATTATTCTGGTAAAATTATCTTTTTGTGAAAAACAATCCTGGCTTTAGCGCCCTTAAACTACGGCTTGAACGGTCGAAATTGCAGGAGCTGCACAGGAAAGCCAAAAAACCAAGCGAGGACGCTGCTTCAATATTAAACATCCATCGCCTTGTTAAGGCGCAGGGAAACAACTATTTGAACACTTCGGAACGCGTGAGGTATGACGTCTCATTTGAAGGCATTTTCGAATCTTCAGTATTTACATGACGAGATTTTCCAAATTGTTTTAAATTATACTGTAGGTTTGAGTTCCTTATATTATTTAGTTAAATTACATACTCCTGCTCCTTAATTTTTAATTATTCTGCAAACACTATCCATTTGTGGAATACAACCCTGGCTTTAGCGCCCTTAAACTACGGGCCTACGCCTCATTTGAAGGCGTTTTCGAATCTTCTGTATTTCCATGACGAGATTTTCCAATTTTTTTGCATTTTATTGTAAATTTGAGTTCCTTTTGTTATTTAGTTAAATTATTCCTGCTTCTTAATTTTTAATTATTATGCAAGAATAATCTTTTTGCGAAATACAATCCTGGCTTTAGCGCCCTGAAACTACGGCCTTAACGGTTAAAACTACAGTAGCGGCACAGGAAAACCGAAAAACCAAGCGAGGACGCTACCCCAATATTAATCACCCATCGCCTTGTTAAGGCGCAGGGATACAACTATTTAAACACTTCGGAACGCGTGAGATATGACGCCTCATTTGAAGGCGTTTTCGAATCTTCTGTATTTCCATGACGAGATTTTCTAATTTTTTGCATTATATTGTAGATTTGAGTTCCTTTTATTATTTATTTAAAATATTCCTGCTTCTTAATTTCTAATTATTCTGGTAAAATTATCTTTTTGCGAAATACAATCCTGGCTTTCGCGCCCTTAAACTACGTCCTGAACGGTCAAAACTACAGTAGCGGCACAGGAAAACCGAAAAACAACGCGGGGACGCTACTTCAATATTAAACTTCCATCGCCTTGCTAAGGCGCAGGGGTACAACTATTTGAACTCTCCGGAACGCATGAGGTATCACGCTTCAATTGAAGGCGTTTTCGAATCTTCTGTATTTACATGACGAGATTTTCCAAATTGATTTGCATTATACTGTAGATTTAATTTCCGTTTATTATTTAGTTCAATTACTCCTGCTTCTTAATTTTTAATTATTCTGCAAAAATTATCTGTTTGCGAAATACAATCCTGGCTTTAGCGCCCTTAAACTACGGCCTTAACGGTCAAAACTGCAGTAGCGGCACACAGGGGCGGACTGGTAGTCGAAAAGTTAGGAGGAGACCTAAATGTAAGGGCCTCTCCTGTCGTTCCGGGGCCCCTCTAAGAAGGTCCGGGGGCCCTCCCCCGGTAAATTTTAAAAATTTCACACTTTTTAAACATGTAGGCATAGTTGGAGTTGGATTCTACAGTACTTGAACTTCAAAATAACCCATTCTCAGGATTCATCGGGGGTCCCTTCATCACAAATGCTTTTGTTGACCTTCCATGTTTCTTAGAGACAAATTTTCAAGGAATTCGGGGCCTTTTAGTGATTGAGAAGGATAAGAAAATTATAACATTACGGAGAAAAACGATGACTCGAAAAAAATTCGCCGTCCCTCCGGGACCTCCTCTGCAAATTGTTAGGGGGCGATCGCCTCCCCGCCCCCATGGCCAGTCCACCCCTGTTTGGAACTATAAATTCTAGCCCGATTTAAAAACAACGTATGTGCCATTAGTTTCCCTATGCACATAAGTGTTTTTTCCAGAAGAGACAGAATTTATAGTTTCAAACTGCAAAATGCAGTCCAATTATTTGTACAAGTATTTTGAGCAAATTTAACAATTCTTTTTTCAAATTTCAAATTAAAGGGCACCTCAAGGCGCATTGATGACAGCGCAAAGATAAAGCTATTATTGCTTGATGGGTGTCCGAAACGCATCTACAAAATTGAAGGCACTATGGCGCAAGGCGAGATCTCTAAATCCGCCGCTCTATGAAGCCAATGAGTCGTTTGGATTTGGGATTTGGGGAAGAAGTTACGAAATGAGGCCGAAGTATGTCTCTCGTGTCATCGGCTGTGTTGTTATTCACTTAGTCCTTGAAGCACCACTACAAATAGTACAAACGGAACGAACACAACATGGAAATAGTGCAAAGAAAAGGATGCGCGTTGTTGACGGCGCATAGAT